TTTATTTCTTTTCTTTTCTTTTTTTTTCCTTTTTTTTCCCTTCTTCTTCCTCCTTTCCCGCAACTCTTCATCTCTCTTTTTTTTATTCTTTCTTCTTCTTCTTCTTCTTCTTCCTTCTCTCTTTCTCTCTCTACCCACCGCGTCTCTTCTCTCTCTCACCCGACGGCGATTGCTCTCATCTTTCTTTCTCTTTTGGTTGTGGTGTCGCGCAACACCGCGCGACCCCTCTCTCTCGGCCGTCGACTCCGCTTAACCCTTTCTCTCCTCTCATCGTGGGGTCTCTCCCTCTCCTCGCTCTTTCCTCTCGTTCTTTTTTTTTTCTCTGTTCCTTCATTATATATATATATATATATATATTTTTGCCGCTTGTTTGTTCTCATTCACTCTACATTCTTCTTTTTTTTTTTTAATCATATATTATACATACATAAATATATGTATATATATTTGCCACTTGTTTGCTTGTGCTCAAGAGGTGTACACAGTTCTGAGTTTTTTTTTTTAATTTTTTTTTCTTCATTATAATTAATTATTTAAATTATTATTATTATTTTTTATTTTTTTTCTTTTCTACCCAGCTGAATATTACAATAATAATATATTTAAATAAAGAAAAACAAAGAAATTATAAATTCTTTCCAATATATTTTTAATATTTTTATGTTATAAATTAAACTTTATTTATCAAAATTTCTCCAACAAAAGAAAAAAAGATTTTATTTATTTAGTTATTAAAATAAATAACTTAATGGAGTTTTTTTTTTTTTCTAACTAATTTAATTAGGTTTGTTAACAAAATAAGTCAATTAATTTTTCCAAATTTTATTCTTATGTTGTCTAATTAAACCATGAATTACAAATATTTAAAAAAGTTATTTTACAAGACAATCTACAACTACGTAGTGAAAGACGATAATAATTAATTTATTTGAATCTCATAAAACCTTCCCATCATTTACATCTGCAAACTACTTGTAAATCTTCTTATGACCATCTCTCCTTAGTTGTCTTATGAATTCCATCATAACAAGTGTATCCACGACTTTTTGTACTAATTTTTCTTGATATATTATTAATTTTTCAAAAAATAAATTTATTTATTATAAATAAATCGTAAGAATATTATTATAATAAATAACTTTTTTTATAGTTTTTATAATATTATAATTCATTAGTCAATCATAAACTAACAGAGATTTAGGATTTGATTGGGTGACTTACACGAGAGTTCATTAATGTCATGTACAATCAAGTATTTATAAATTTAATTAATGTTTAAATTTAACTATATTTAAATGATAGTTTATTAATATTTGATAGTGATAATTGTTTTTATTTGGATTGACAATACAATATAATTGTATATTTAAATAAATTTTTTATTTTATTTTTATTTTATTGTATATAGTAATAAATAAAAAATAAGTAAAATTAAAAAATATATAATATTAAATATAAAAATATATATACAATTAAATATATTATATACATGTATAATATATAAGTAAAAACATAAATACATTTATATAATATATTTAGATATATATAATTAGATATATATAATTAAATATATATATATAAATTTATGTATATATGTAATAAAATATATATAATTAAATATATAAATCTATGTATATATAAAATTAATAAAATTAAATATATTATATACATGTATATATAATTAAAAATATAAATACATGCATTTAATTAAATATATAGATACATGTTTATATATAAGAAGAAGTGATGGATAAAAGAAATCAAAGAGAAGGGTAATGTTGTAAATAATAAAAAAATTAAGGGTATAAAAGATAAAAATTATTAAACTATCATAAAACAACCGAATAGTTAGTTTAAAAAAATAAAAAAAATTATAGTTTTTAGAATTATAACTCATCTACAAAAAAATTATACTATATATTTATAAATATAAATAAAAAAAATTATAAAAAAAATCATACTTTATTTTATGAATACTTTATTTATTTTATTTTTTAGTTAATTTTTTTTTCTTAAATACGGTATATTACAAATTTATCCTCCTATAATTTAAAATAAATAGTTTTTCATTCTTATAATTGCTTATTTTTTATTCTCAATTAAAATTATTATTTTAAATAAAAATAAATAAATAATTTGCTTAAAATTTTTTATTTATTTTGGATGTATTTTTAACTTTTTATTTTAATATAAATTCCCGGATTCAAACCTGCATAAGCTATGTAAAGTTAACCGACTAGTACTACGGTGGGATGAAATGGTGAGCAGATAGTTAATATATTTAAATTCTTCAACTATCCGGAATTTCAGTATCATCATATGAACTAAAGAGTTAAAATCCAAGTTAATTAATGCAGAGAGAATATTATTTTCAGATTTATGATTTTAATAAAAATGCTAAAACTACGAATAGTATAAATGGGGGGAGTGGCTCCAAGAAAGGAAATTCGAAAGAGGAGGCAAATCTCTACTTGCCAACTTTTAGAATTCCCCCACACAAAGTTAAGAAGTTGGTTTCTCAAATTCGCTTTTGATAACCCTGATGAGCTATGTGATTTTACTCCCAGTTTCTACGCTTCATCTTCTTCCTAACCATCATATTTGAAGTTTTTTCCGCAGAGACCTTAATATTTTCTACACTATGGTAGGGTTTTACTTCTTCTTCCTTCCGATAAAGCTTTTACGTTTCGTTCTCCTTTTTGTTTTTCGTTTCGCTAATGTTGATGTTTTCTTTGTTTTTCTTTATTACACTTTCTGTGTTGTTTCTTTCGTCCTTTGCTAATGGGTAATCTTGCAAAGGATTGCTTATATTTGATCAGTGGGCGGTTTATTTTCTTTATGTCTGATGAATGTTAAGGATGTGATCACAGGGTTAAGTTTTTGTTGAATGGTAGAGCAGAAACTGTACGACTGTGAGAATTGGAAAGAAAAAATTTCTGGAATGGGTTCGTGGGAAAGTATTGTTAGAACTAGAAGATGATTAATCGGAAAGAGATGATAGGATTCGTAGGAGTAACACTGTGGTTAGGGTTTATAATTGACAAAGGTAATGGCAGAGGAAGGTGTTTGGTATATTATGCTTGAAATTGAACTTTTAGTAAGAGCAGTACTATGTGGATTAAAAAGAACAATAATGCACTAAGGCATTAGTTCCTTGGCAAAAGCACTTAAAAATTGGAAAAAATAAATCAAATGGGCGGCTTATATAAAACCTTGAAACTGCATATCACTCGGTGTTGCCAATGCAGTTTTTGTACGTAGTTCAGACTGATCTAGTTTATTGCATGCCATCTTCTTTTCTTCTGTTCACATGGCTTTGCAGCTATGTGCATCTGGGTACTTGGGTGCCTGCTTGTGTCTAGTTTATTGATATTCTGGTGATTCTGCGTTATTTTTCTATCCTTGTTATAGGTGGCAATCGGTGGAATGGATTTGAAATGGTACTTTATGCTGAATAATTCATTTGAATAATTAGCTTGAAGTCATTGTATGTATACTGTCTTGTTTCAGGTGACTATTTGTCAGACCTGTGGTGACAGAGGCTACTCTGTGGCTCTTATTTACTGCCGGCATTGTCAGGTGTATGCAGTGCACCGGTGAGTTGTCTATTTTATATATCATCCTTACCGTAGGAATGCTTATGTTGGTGTTCTGGGTCTTTCTGGCTCCCTGAATAGGCTTTGTATTTTAGGATAATATTGCAAAATCTCCATACTTCACTGAAAAGATTGAAGTGGCAGTATCATGGTTATTGAATGCCATATTTTAATTGTCTGCCTAATTTTTACATCAAAAGGTTTGAATAAGGATCAAAATTTTCACTCATTCTTTGTCTTAAGGAATTTTTTGGAGGGATTTTATCATTACATCTTTCCCTTTGTTCAGCTATTGCTTAGATGTATTACCAGTAACTTTTGAGGAATCTATAACCTGGTTTTGCGAGGATTGTGAGCTAAAGATTGTGAAACCATCTAGTCTTGACAATCTTGGCCCTTCCAAAAAGATGACCAAGAAGAAGAGACGTCTCAGAAGATTGTCAGAGGCTTGCAAACCAGAAAATAATGCCACTACTGAACTCCTTGAGGTGGCTTGTGAAGAGTGTTGTGACAAAGATCAGGGGCTTGGAAGAAAGGGGCTTCCAGATATGGTGAGCTCTGATGAGAGAGCTGAAACTGTTAAACGTATGGCCATCTCGAATGAGGAGCTTGAAGCTGATAGGGATAAACCCAGTGTGGAAATCACCAATGGAAATTTGAGTATCTCACAATGCAGCTATTATGTTCCTGCACAGCCCATCATTGAACCAATCTGGAGGTAGGAAATTAGTCCATCTAGTTGTGAATTATTCTTCTTGCATACAAGATGAAGGTAAAAACTTATGAGCTTGTTAGTTTGTCTGTTGGCAGGGGATCTTTCAATCTGTTCCACAAGAATTTTGACACTGTTGGTGGGCTTTTCGGACATTTGTCCAGCTTAGCATGTCCAAAAGCATGCGAGGCAGCAAAGTTGTTACCTGAAGTTCTTTATCCTGTGTTGCTTCCAAAATCTAATGTATGGCCTAAGAGTTTTCAGAAAAAGGGACCAAGTGACGAGAGTATTGCTCTATATTTCTTTCCAAACAACGAAAGGTAATGCTTTGGCAATATACATCTGCCTTCTTCTCTGTTTTCCCTGTCTAATTACTCTAAGTTGTATTCGTTGTTACAGGGAAGAAAGGGTTTTCAAGAATCTAGTAGATGAAATGATAAACAACGATCTTGCCATGAGAGCTGTGTTTGAAAATGTGGAACTCTTGATATTCACTTCTCTTGTACTGCCAATGAAACTTTGGAGTGAGTGTAAATATCTCTCTTATTTGAAAACGGCCTCACTTAATATACCTCTTTTTGGTATTATTTTAGATTTATGTCTACATAAGTTTAGGATTAGTGCCTTACTGAGAAAGAAATAATTAACTGGTTTTCAGGTTTCCGAGGGAAGTGTTACTTGTGGGGTGTGTTTAGGGGAAAGCAAGCTTTACAGACAGAAGTTCGTCAAGAGAAGCATAACTCATTGGTTTCAAAATTGGATCCTAGACGCAGGATTAGTCCATCGAGCAACTGTGGTGCACATGGTTCTGATGAGAACTATTCCTCATTTTGTGCATCAGTAAGGTGATCATATATTAGAACAATATAAGCAGGAAAACGACTTTCCTTTTGGGCTAACAAATGATGCCTAAGGTTACATTACTGCATAACATAAATGTAACTATGGTCCTTTAACATATCTAGATTATGAATATGTTTAATGGTTCGTTGGGGAATAAGAACCGAAAAAAATGACTCATGGATCAATGTTAGTATAAAATAATATATAAAGTATTTTGTTGATGATATTTTTTTTAGTTAAAAGAAAATTATATATTACATATATGACATCAAGGGGTGTTGTCCCTATACAAAGAATTTACAAATCAGTTAGAGTATTAATAACCTTTCTAAAATCATTCCACCCGTACATATCATAACCTACCATTAGCATTCCAAAAGTATGAAGTCGTCTAACTCTAATTCTACTAATATCCCTCATAAACCCATTGAATGTTTTATTGTTCATCTCTTTTTAAATAGCCCAAAAAAAAATGAATTATTTTAAAAAACTTAGCACTACTTATAATCTCACCATAAGTCAACAACTCATTTTTCACTTAACCCCCAATCACCTAATTTATAGCCAATAGATTATAAATTATAAACCATAAACTATAGGTCATAAACTATAAACTACAAGTCACCAGACATCGAAGAAGAAGATGATTATATGATTCGCAGCAGTCATGTAAAGATAGCACTCGATAGCTGTAATGTGACCCATTTTCATCAACTTATCAATGGTGAGAATACATTTTTGGCATGCCTTCCAAGCAAAAAAGCAATCTTATTGGCGTGTTTACTTTCTATATTTGTTGAACTAGGGATTGTTTACCATCGTTCTCTTCGAATGTCAAAAAACCATAAAAAGATTTCACAGTAAAAATTCTATCATTCTTGAATTTTTAAATAATTATATCATTGTCCGAATCTAAGTGAACATTCGTAAGAACTTGTAGAAGCCTTGTTGTAATATTTTGAACTCCAATGTTGGTGGGTATGAACGTTACCACAATATTTTTAACTAGTGGAACAGATAAATATTAAATATGCAGCGGAACTATACTTTAATACACATCCCTTATGATTGGATAATTATTTGTTTACAAATAATTGAGACATCTAAATTAATTTAAAATATTAAAATGAAAACTTATAAAGTTTTTTTCATCATCTTCTTTTGATTTTTGACTTCATCTTACTTGGATGGGGTAAATTGGGGTGAGTTTTACGAGCTCAGTAAGAAAAATGATTCTATAATGAAGACTTACGTACATACATTCACGTAATATGTAAAATATATTGATATTTATAATCAATAAAATGTCAAATAAAACATTTCAATCAAATACACAACAAAACAAATCATCACATGAAATATATTCTAATCTTCACTTTTTTAACTTAATTTTTTTTCTCATTTTAAATGACATTTACACTCGAAATATCACAATCTAAGGTTTCATTGCGCGATACCGTTTATATCGTCATCGAGGAAATGTGAAATGGATCCTCCCATCGCATGGATAACACACACACAAATCTCACAGTGGCCACAACAGATACGTTTGCTAGGTGACCCACACTCACAAACACCTATCCACGTCTGAATTAGATTTCAAACTCTATCAATGTGCAGGTTCACCATACCTGTTGAACTTTAACCACACACGCACCATCCCATCCTCAATTCAGACTAAACGAGTAGGTATGCAGGGTCCTTACACTCTATACACTTTCTAAATCTCTTTTATTTTTAATTCACTTATTTCATACCTAAGATCTCAATTTCTACGCATAAAAAAACACTAACACATACACACACAAAATACACAATATCATCACGATAAAGGTCATACATTTTAAATCATTTTCTAAATAATCATATACTAGATCACACAGCAAGCACAGGATCCTCAGATTCCTCATGCAACTGTACCAGATCATATAGTAAGTACAGTGTGTCGTATATCTGCACCAGATCACACAACAAGTGCACCCAATTTCACATGTACACACACTAATTATATATTTCACATGCATAACATATGTACACACATATATATTATAATATAAATATGTACTATCATTATATGTCTCATATAGAATATATATTTATATTCACACACACAATCTCTACTAATATATACATACTAAACATGTATACACCGTCACACACAACATACAATATATATATATATTTATTCATACATTTGTTCTTATCAAATTTGTTTTTATCAATTCATATATCATTCATCATATATTTTTATATATATAAACACACACATGCGTAAAAATGTATATATATACACTATATAAATACACACAAATACAAATTAGATATACTAATTATATTTATATTACATTACATATACATTTAAACATTCACACATAATGCACTTTAGATGTACACATTACATAAACATATAATTTATATTTTCGTACGGAATACACATAATTTTTACTTATAGTGTAATTGAAAAAGATTTGGAAATTCGTTCTACCTCGATCTACAGTTCTTTCGGAAATTCGAATACCATTTACATAATTTTTTTCGTTTATAATAGAAATCACATATATTAAATTATGAATAACTTTGAAAACTATGTTACGTGAAATGAGGAACATATTTTACCTTGGGACACGCGGTCCTGGTCGCCAACGTCACCACGCACTACCATACGCGTGCCATCGAAAATGCCAGACTGATGATCAAATTAGTATGCATTGTCGCATGCAGTACACCAACAGAATATTGGTCGCCGCACTTTCATTTTTCTTCCTTAATTTAATTAAATTTTTTCTTTTTTTTTTCTTTCATCTTTTTTTTTTTCTTTTATTCCTTTTTATTTTATTTTATTGTTTTTCTCTTTTCTTTTTCCTTTCTTCTTCTTCTTCCTCCTTTCCCGTAGCTTCTTTTTTTTGTTCTTCATTTTTCTTCTTCTTTTGTTTTTTTCTTTCTCTTTCTCTCTCTTCTTCTCCTTCTTATTATCTTCTCTATTTTTTTTTCTTCTTTCTCTTTCGCTCTCTTCTTCTCATTCTTATTCTCTTCTTTTTTTTCTTCTTCTTTCTTCTTCTTCTCTCTCTCTCTCTCTCTCTCCTTTCCACAACGTCTCCCCTTCGCCGCATCTCATCTTCGCAACTGCCACTCACTCCTCCTCCTCACGCAGCCAAGGCTCCTCCGCTCACTTCGCTTTCTTGGCTTCAATCGTCGGTCAGCTCGGGCTCTTCTCTCACTCGCTCGAACTCAGCTCTCTTCCTCTCTTTCTCTCTCTTTTTTTTTTCTCTTTTGCTATTTCATTATATATGTTCGATGTAAGAATTTCAGTTAAAATAGAAATATACTTGAAATAAAGCTCCAAATATAGAAAGATGGCAGAATACATAAAGAACACCGACATGCATGCGGTTTAGGATTACGTTAAATTTTGTGTTTAAAGTTTGTTTTTAGTTAGAATTCGAATTATGTTTTTGAGTAGGACTTTAATTTAATTTTGTTTATAAATACCACTTCAAATCAATCAATAAATATCAAGTTCTTTCTTCTCAAAATTCACTAAGTTTAAGAGAAGCTAGAAAACAGAGGAGCATGCATAAGCATACTCTTTTTCTTATCCTCTCTCTCTCTAAATTCTCTCTTTAAAATTATGGCAAAAATTGTGATCGGTTTGATTTAAAATCTACAAGTGGTATCATAGGTATATGATCTTAAGGGATCTGTGCTAAGAAATTAACAAAATAAAATACAAAATGACAACAAACTCGACTGACACACTAAATCCTCCTCTATTTACGAGAGAAAATTATCACGTATGGGCGATAAAGATGGAGCCACACCTGCCAGCCCATAGCCTGTGGAAGGTCGTGGAAGACGATGCAAAACCAGCATCATTGAAAGATGATGCAATAATAAACCAACTAAAGAGGTATGAAGAAGACATCTGTAAAAAACCTCGAGCTCTGTGTTGTTTGCATGTGGAAATATCAGATTCGGTCTTGTATGGAATAATGAACTTGAGAAATCCAAGCAAGTATGGGACAAGTTAAAGGAGGCGTTTGAAGGTGATGAAAGAATCAAGATGGTGAAGATTCTGAATTAAGAAAGCAATTTGAAACACAAAGATGGCAGAGGCAGAAACCGTAAATGAGTATGTCTCAAAATTTCTTGATACTGTAAACAAGATCAGATTGCTCGGAGAAAACTTCAAAGACAGAAGAGTAGTTGAAAAAATGTTGATAAGTCTCCCTGTCAGATTCGAGGCAAAAATCTCAGCGATAAAAGAAACATGCAATCTCAGAACTCTCTTGGTTGCAGAACTATTGGGCAAGCTGCAAACATTAGAGCACAGGACAACCTTGAGAGAAACAACTCCACCGACGAAGCACTAGTAGCTACACAAAACAGAAGCAAGAATCAAGGTAAAAGAAGAGGAGGAAGAAGAAATCAAGATGATCAAGTCACACGATCAACACAAAATTCAAACAAACACAATAATAAGCAGTAAAAGGGATTACCAAACTGCAGAATATGTGCTCGCAATAACCACCTAGAACAAGACTGCTGGTATAAAGGGAAGAACCTGGTCAAGTGTAATTACTACAAGAAGGGTGGACACGTCGAAAATGTATGATGATGGAAAAAAATGAAGGGAGCATATCTGCTCCTTCTGCTCAAAATCAGTCTCAACAAGAAGTAAATTATACCAAAAAAACTAAAGGAGAAGAACAAATGTTTATAACACTCAGTGAGCAACTAGAGGAAACTGACACTCACTGGATAATTGACAGTGGCTGTACAAGCCACATGTGTAAAAACGAAAAAATGTATTCTGATCTTAACAAAGATACAAAACTCAACATAACTCTAGGTGACGGAAAGACATTAAGAGCAGAAGGAAAAGGAAGCATCGCAGTAACCATGAACTAAGGAAAAACAGTCATACCTGACATCCTATATGTGCCTGGACTGAGGCAAAATCTGTTAAGTGTGAGCCAAATAATCAGAAGTGGATACACCGTGGTCTTCAAGAAAAATTCATGCTTCATAAAAGACTCACGTGGGTATGAAATTATAAACATTTCAATGATCAATAGAGTCACTAAGCAACAACAAGTATTTCATCATGTTTATTGATGATCACTCCAGAATGACATGGATTTATTTCCTAAAACAAAAGAATGAAGCTC